GAGCTTTTCTTTCTGACGGCCTCCGATTGATCGCTCCAGTTCCGATGAGAGTTCGATTTCAGCGTTCTTTAGGAGAAAAATTTCGAGCCGCCTTAAGTTCTCGTCGTGGTAATCGATGAACAGGTCGGCAAAGTGAGGGAGCTCCCGCGATGATGCCTCGGTCCACTTGAGCCGCTCTGAAGAGGATACCTTCTCTTTCGATTAGAAAATATTCTGTGCCGCCTTTTGTGTCGCTTTGATCCGTGCCTCAGCCGCCTTGAAGGCAGCCTTATCCGACTTCTCCTGACGATACAGAGCTAGTGCGGCCTCGTCAGCTTGCATCTCAGCCGTGGTCCTATTTGCTCTTCTAGCCCGAGGCTTGTTGGGCACCGGAGCGAGCGCGGGCGGAGCTGACAATGAGTATGCCTGTTTAGACAATAGCGCATTGTCCATGATGAAAGAGTCGTCCCGGAGACCCTGCCGGGGCCGTCAATAGGTATGATTGAGCTGCAGTTTCCGGGTCGTCCTACCAATGTGCTCTGAGTCATCGGAAATCCATCTGTGTGCGGGCGCGATCCAACCAAAGTCGAGCCAGTTGAGTTTGACGATCTCAATTCTCTAAAATCCCCGAGATGGATGTCGCCCTCACCCTGCATGGGTTGATGGTTACTGCTGTGCTGAGTGGTCATGCTGTAGGGGTCTTCCGGGTATGTTCATAGCTCCGGCCATGGTAGTGATCTCGTAATTGCTCAGGACGGCCGCCCAAGGTCGCCAGATGCCGCATTGTGTTGGTGATTAGGATAGTTTCCATGGGATCGGCTAGGGGTTCCAGACATTTTTGGCTCCGATTGAACAGTAGATTTTTGTTGAGGGAGTTTACCGGGTGCTTTCATCACCTCTTCCGAGTCTTGGGGAAATCCTGAGTCAAAGGTCCGCCCACAAGCCTTTTTGAATATGCATGGCCACAGGCCAGAGCAATTGATCTTCCAAGCTGGCATTGTCCTGACAGATGCCGAGGCAGCGGATGATTATATGTATGAGATACTTTATGTATGTACATACATGAATACTTGAGTATTGATGTTTCAAGTCCCAGCTATCTTATTTTTTATCTGTTGCATTTTCAAATCGACCTCTTGAGGTGGTTTGGAAGGCTTTTGAAAAAAATAATACTGTAATATATTTTTTTTAATTATCCTAAAACCAAATTAAAAAAAATCGTAAATAATTTTCAAAAGTTGTTTATAATTGCTGCCTCATTCTCAGTGTTTGAAACATCACTTTGAATACTCAGATCCAAAGGTTATTTGTATTTTCTAGTCATGATCACTTTGAAAGATGTCCTGACCGGCCATGCAAGGTTCATTCAGACTTCGGTCTGTTAATAACTTGTTTTGTATCACAATTAATGTATTTCATTTTCATTTGAATAATGTGTTTTTTTAGCTTTCGGACCGTTTAAAGCAAATAGTCATCAAGTGATTAATGGAAGTAACACAGAATAATCTTAACAGCTCCGAAGTGCCCTGATGCTGGTTGTAAATAAATCAACAACTACTGGTGTAGACTAGAATGTTTTTGACTGATTTGTGTATTGAGTCGTTTGCGTTCAATGTGGGGAGGCGGATGCCGGCTTACGAACGGACGACTTCCTGTTGTACAGCATTTCGACGATTGAATTTGGGACGCACTACGCTCCATGAATATTTGCGATCCAAGGAGCGTCGGGGCTGTCCTACATTTAGCCCTAAGGTTATTAATCGCTGAAGCCATCGGGATGGAGTAGCAAAATGTATGAGTGACCGCCCTGCCTCCCGTCATTGAGGCAATTGCAGGTCAAGCTCGCTGTTCTCGCCGGGTGTATGAACGTGTGACCAATATCAAATGGGTATGATGAGAGCCTTTGACGATAGGCAGATAAATTATCGGAGGTGCCAATTCCCTCTCCTGGGGCGACGTTTCCACCGTTGCGTAACATCGTTTCAAATCAAGGAGCTTGTTTAGTTTTTCCAGACTTTGAGAGTTCGAAATCACCAATGATTTTACGTCCGATTGAGGGAGATTGGCAGTATCGCTAGCGGTGACGTCGGGCTAAGTACCAGCGGTGGTTTTTATGCGCACTGAATCGCTTCGGCGACCGGCTCAGGAGCTTCATCAGATAGACAGTCGAAAGCTTCTCGCAAGGGCAAGGCAATGATGTCTATAAGTGTGGATCCGAAAGGCATAGGGTGCAATAACTTCTTTAAATCCGATGTCACGAGATAACCAACCTGCCCCGGCGGCAGGCTCATCTGTTGGTTGACCTGCAGTTGCCACCTTCTTGTTGAGAGGACAGTTATTATTATTATTTTTATGTTTATAAATAGACCTTATTCACCAAATGACCGAAAACAACAGACGCAAACAAAAGGGTCAACGACGCGAGAGGCTAAACGACAACAACAAGAGACTGAACGACAACAACAAATGCTGAACGACAGCGACAAGAGGCCGAGAATCGACGACGAGAAGCTCAGCAAAAGCTGGCGCATGCTGCCATGTTGTGGATCCAGCGGAGACCCTACCAAGTTCGTCACCATACAACGCAGAGTCGGTGGCAGACGATGGGCACTCCAATCCGGATAGTCTAGTTCACCGCTCATATCGTTGAATTGCACGCTGGAATAGGTTGTCTTAGCCAGCCCTTGAAGATGAAGCAACTGAGGGAGGAGCGTCGAGGATGGCGGTCCAATACTTGAAGTGTCTCGTCTGACGAATGAAGGCGCGATCAAAGACGAACGTTCCTGACAAGGGCGCCGTTGGCTTGGTAAGAGCCTTTGGCCTGGTAAGAGACTTTGGCTGGGTAAGAGCTTTTGGCCTGGGAGGCAAATCGATTGTCGGAGGTGCCCAGCTCCTTTCCCTCGAGGACCGTTTCACCCTTGCAGGACATCGTTTCAAACTACAGGGCGAGGTTGACAGACGGGTTTCCTCCAGGCTTTGCGAGTTCGAAATCACCAATGAGTTTACATCCGATTGCGTGAGACTGACATCAGAAGGGGTTTGAGAACAGTTGACTGTTTCGTCATCGCACTGATATATTTCGGCCACCGGCTCAGGAGCGTCGTCTGATAGAGAGTCAAAAACTTCCTGGAAGGCAGAACGCAGTGGCGTCTGCAGCAAGTGAAGATCCGAAAGGCATCGGGTGATGGGGTTCTCACGAGCCAAGCATTGGACATCAGTGGATTTCGCAGAATCGGCGGTGTTGCTTGGTGCGAAGAAGGACGTCAAGTCGCTGGTTTCGGATTGCGAATGGTTTTTGGGCGCTACGTTGAGGAAACCGCTGAGGTCTTCTTGGCTAATCGAGTAGATGAAAGATCATCAATCAAGTCAGCGCGGTTCGTGGCGATGACGGAGGAGGCACTGGGAGATTTCTCGGATTTGGGTGGACTCCAGAAGGGATTGGTAGAAGGGGATGTCCAGGTGCTTGAGCTGGCACTTGACGGGGATATTGAGGAGGAGGACTCAAAACAATAGCGGGTATCGATTGGTGAAGGGAGTGCCGTGTGCTGTGGGTCCAGTGTCAGCGTCAGTAAGAATGCAATTAGATGTTGGTGTGAGGTGGGACGATGCACTGGAAGAAAAAAAAATACTGACTGGTGATTCAAGTGGCAAGGTAGAGAAACCAGAGGTGCTTGGGAGGTGATCGACTCGCTTTGAGCCGCATAGGGTGGCGAGATAGCGGTCGCTTGCTTCGAGAGAGGGGGTGGTGTGGTTTTGAGGCATCTTGTTAAGGTCACGATGGTATGAATCCGTAGAAAAATGTGGTATAGATGTGAGGCTTGAAGACGGAGAAGTTAAGGGATTGGGTATGATGAAAGTAAACTTTGGTTCTGGGTGGTGGTGGGGAGAGGTGTGAAGGCCGGGAAGAACGGTGGCTTTATACCTATCCAGTGCCGCCTACTAGCTTCGACACGAGATAAGAAACAGCCATTGGCGATCAGGGCCGCTTGTTCATCGCTGGTGGGACTTGCAATTGGGCAGAGTTTTTTCCACCTGTGCCTGGAAATCTCGGGCAGGCACGCCTAGGAAGGTGCGTGATGGCGGGTTGGAAAGGTGGTGCTTTGTCGTCCTGCTAGTGTGCCGGCCTCGGAGCTCTGAAGGGCAACGGCTGAGGGTCATAGAGTACAGAAAGAGTCCTGTGACTGCCCGGGCTCGTGGGCTCAGCCGAGAACCCTCATGCTGGGTGAGAGAATGAATGACCGGTGCTGCTTTATCACTTAAATTTCTTTGCTGCTGGAATCAACGGGATGTCTTCACGGAATCTGTCTTATCCTGACAAACTTGACTTGAGGATCCGTCCCATCATCCCAGGTGCCATTGACCCAGCGGCGGCTATCTTTGTTACATGAGTATAAGGCACGGGTCGGCATAGGATTGATCCGGTGGGATGCGAGGGTCGGAGCTGCCCAGGGCAGCGGCTAAGGTTTCGAGGAGCAACGTGCCCCGAGATTTGGAGAACGCGGGCCAAGCACCTTCGCACCCGTTTCGCCAAGCCAATGTCAATGCACCCAACTTTCCAGTGACTTATGTACTTTCCTTGCTGGTAGCATGATGCACATAAATTCTAGATAGCGCGTCACACATGAAATGTGGCTTGAACCCCTCACTGGAGTCGTCAGTTCGAGGATCATGCCAATGCAGATCTAAGGCGCGAAACATGCATAGAGATTGTCAATGGCTGGCTGTATTAATCATGGCATAAGATCAAGAATTCATGGAAGTATGTAGTTTGATAGAATGCATGATCGGGTGCAATAGTAAGGGAATTCACCTCACACCGCTATGATTCGTTGATTGTTCGGTTAACTAAGATCCAGGATTGTTCAGCTGGTAAACCATCGGATGTCAATTTGGATACACGAATGAATTCGAACGGATGAATGAGTCGTACGGCGACAGGGTTTGGATAACAATGACTGATCTTGCACGGATGATTCATCTGGTCTACACCTTCGCTCTCGACATCGCTCAATGACAAGAAAGTGGGCGGTAAATCAAGCGAGACGAGAACCAGAGGGAACGGGCTTCTTTCGGCTCGAGTCAGACTTGCACTAGTGAATCCTCGTGAAGCGAAGAGTAAACCAATCGTAGGCTTGGAGTCCAATGGGTTGTTGTAAGTTGAACTTGTGGCGACTAATCCTTCTAACTCTCTGACGATTTTTAACTCCACGCGTGCACATTTGCACTGAGCAATCGCCCTGATAAACCTTCTCTCTTGTTTGCCGTGGTCAGCATCCTCTGACTGTTGCGCTTGGTTTGGTTTGTCTGCCTCGACTGGCCGATCTTGCGGTTGAGCCTGGATTCCCGTCCTATGATTCGAATATAGCCAACCTCTGATATCAATTCCACCATCCTGACTTCCCCGTTTACCAACGTGAACTAAATCTTGCATGAGCAGGACCTCCTCCATGCATTTTATTGAATGTTTTTCATACAAGTTTCCTATCAGATTATAATTCTTTCTTCGCTTAAGATCAGCATGTTTTTCCGATAAATTTTCCGTATTGATTTCCGTGGTTGCGGTTGGTTTCGCAATGGCATCCTGACCACTCGTGGGCGTGATAGTGAGATTTCTAGATCGTTTCCCGATTGATACCGCAGGGTCGATTAGCTTGGGTTTGCTTGCTCTGGCTAGAAACACCTGTGCTGATGATGATCGGAGGGCAGCAATCTTCTGCTGAAAACTGTGGGGCTTCATTGAGTTTTGCTCGATCGAAACATCGGTGTCTGGTCGTTTAAAAGCCTCTGGATTCCTGATTTCTCCTGCTTAGTCGATGCAGTCTTCAAGCAAGGGCCACAACCCAGATATGTCAGTATAAGGATGTAAGATTAACTGGTAACAGGAATCATGAGTAGAGGTGATACATACATACCCATTTATTTGCCCATGTGTATCGAAGTTGGTAGAGACTGGAGGCGTCGGCGTCAAAGCCCAAAAGTTACCCATAGAACCCCCGAAACCAGCTGGAGCCTCGTGGGGTACATACTACAACATATCACGGGGGAGGGTCCTCTTCACGGCAAGAAGACTTGGCCTATCCCATAGCCACGAGGGACTTCGGTGTGCTATGTGGCACACTGGCTAGCTGAGGCCAAAAGGAAGCAAATTTGACACAAGCAGTGTAATAATCGATTTGTTAGTCTCGCCTTTGGGGGTAGGATCAGAACCAAACCAACAGAATTCTTCCGATGTTGTCCTCAAAAGACAAAAAATCGCTTTCCAATTCAATCGAGCCACAATTCTAGCTACCAGCTTTACTTTTGTCACTACAAGACCAGTGATACATCAGCACCGGATCCAAATTGTCCATACTTCATTGAGAATGTCCGTTATCGCCTGCTTATTTCTCATATCCAAATTTACCGCTAGCTATTCGATCTCACTGACACTGGCAATCGATTAGAGGATGAATGAACAAGAGAAGTATTATTGCAAACCGAAACAGTGAAAATCGAGCAATCACTATTGATTCCCAACGCCAAAGGCCATGATCGTGGAAATTGGAATCGAGTTTATGAAGATTGACGTGAACTCCAAGCTAAGAACCCCCCCCCCCACTCAGACTGTATATTTTGCCCATCTCTGGCCTCTTTGCAAACAAGAAATATCGATTGATACGTGTGTTTACATGCTTTATTGAAATCCTAATCAAATGCGAGCACATGCTTCATTCAAGATCAGAATGCAGAGAACAAGAGATGGAAAGGACCATGCAAAAAATTAATTTTGATCATGCGGCTAGAAAAATGCACCGGCCTTAATTATGTTTTGGTTAAATCTGGAATTAATAGAAACTCTATTTGACCGAGAACAAAAATGTTTCACAATAAAAAATCAGTAAATACCCAACTAATAGGCATTTAGCCAAGGCGAAGATGGAATCCTTGACTTGATCAGCTAAAGAGCCTCGTTGAAGTGGACTCAATTCTCGTCGAGAGGTTTGCCGTGCCCCATTCTGAGGTACTGTTGGAGTCGGTGGAACTCGCTTTGAATTTTGATTCGGACTCGTGCTTGGCTCAACGTGGTCATGGGGCTGGTCATGAGGCTTTCTAGATAAAGATTCTTCGAGTGACAATTGCAAAGCTTGACGGAGTGAATTTTCCAGTTCACGATCCAAATCCTCCTTCTTTGACATCTCAAGCACACATGTCAAATTCTGTTCCTCGATTCCAAGGTCATCATGATATTCCCTGGTTGATTCTAGGAGTAATGCGAGTTCGGCATCTGAGAGTGCATCAGGAAGTACTGCATCTTGATAGCTACGTCGTGACTCGTCCATGAGTGATCTAACCAGAGCTTCCTCGAGCGACTGAGCTATATCAGATTCATGTCGCTCATGCTCTTCCTTGGAAGCTTTCAGTGCGCAAGCCAAATCATCATCACTATTTTTTCTATGGTGGCCTTGAGATTGATGAGATTGATGTTGCGTAGCCCCTGATATTTCACCGAACTTATCACAAGTCTCCAGCTGCGGCGGGCGCATCTGGCAGCGTAGCGCTGGCCAGGCGGTTCCCGAAGGGAACTCCCCGCAGGGGAGACTTGGGCCAGAGGTCGACAAACTCAGGTGCTGAGTTTCAATTGTTTTGGTGGGAGCATCACAAGATTTGAAATCCTGATGCTCCCTCAAAACTTTCTTGATGTTTGGTCTCCAATTTTTCAAGACCTGCCTGATCTTATTGATCAGGCCAAAACTTAGAAGTTGCACCTCGCAACCGTAATTAATAATGATTTTATAAAATCAGCATTTGAGCTTTCTTTTACGCTGACATAAGCGGTTTGATGAACTCGCACACACCAAAAAAGCTCGACTTCAGTTGAAAAGTTGTCATTTTCAAAAATAACTACATCAAAACTCACAACATGACACAAGAATGTGAGCAGAGGGAAGAATGTACAAGAAGCAGACCCTCCTTGGGCCACAAGTAAATTAGATAACAGTGCAAGAAGAAGAGCATAGGCAGAAAAATGCACAGAAAACTGGGTTTCAAGCCCAATTTTGAAAACTCAGCACGCGGGGATTGCCGCATCTGTTTTAGGCCTCCACTGGCGTGGACAGCTCCGCTGCTCGCTCCCGCTCCCGCCGTGGAGGCCTAGTTAGGCTCGATATTTCACCAGAATCACCATCTGGAGAACCTGCCTGAATCGAAGCAGCGGATGTATTAGAGCCATACTTTTGATTAGACCGAGAGGGATCACTCACTGTTGGTCCTAATGAAGCCATGGCCGGGGTGGATTGCATAGAAGTTTCCACATGCACTGCAATGCTATTTGATGCCCTGCTTGTTCTATTCGGAGTGTTCACGAGGTCAGACGATGGCCCTTCAAGTGCAGAAGATTGATGAAGTTTTGGAAAAAGCTATGAACGGATATAAGTCCACTGGTTTTAAGCTTTCTCAGAGTATAAGCATAGGCACAAAAAAGGGCTCACCAGAAGAAGTGTCACAGATGAACACCTGGGCAACATTTCTTTGAGAAAGACAATTTAGTTGAATTTATCAAGTAGATGTGTGGCCAGAGAATATTTTTTTTGGGTCTTATGTGGACCATAGATGCCCAGAATAAACTGGATTTGATCACATATGATTGGGATTTCCAAAAGAGATCAAAATAGCCCTCTTTTAAACTCTATCAACTGACAGACTAAGTCGTGAGTGGATGACTTCCTGTTGACATCTGCGTCTCCCAGTTTTAATTTAGAGCCTCGAAAGCTAGATTTTCCTGCATAAATCTAGTCTTTTTGGGTCTGAATCACAAACTGTGAGGGTCCCAGATCCAACGGGAAGTCCTCCAGTAACAGCCCACTGCGACAAGCATATTTGAACAGCCAATCAAATACAATCACTCTAGAGAAAGTACAGCATGTGCGGCTCTACCAGGTAATGATTGAGACTGCAGTACAGAGACATGTGGAAATAAAGTTACAGTCTGATACTCAGTACATTGGTTTGCCTCTTCAGGCTGTTTCTGCAAGAGGCTTTAATAAGCTTCATTTAATTGCTTTGTCAACAAACTGATTTTGTATCATGTGGCAATTTGGCATGAGTCTTGAACACATTTGAGTTGTCAGGGGAGACTGGTATTGAAGGACTTCCTCTTGTCATTCAGAGATTTTTCTAAGCCCCCTCTAAATCCTAAATTGATACTTCAATCAAAGCCACACCCCTCTCACATGAAATTCATCACTGTAAGGTGTCTGAGTTGTTTTACCAAAAATCAAGGTTCTGTTTTGCTGGCTGTAATTTGTAATTTGGAGGCAAGGTTTGGCAGGAGTTTGTGCAAAAAATCATATTGTTTTATATCACACAGTTGGAATCTGCGCACAAACCTTAACCAAATCACATATCATGATTTGAAGCCACACGGGTCCTAGGATCCAATGTGTGTAAATTGATTTCTGAAAGTGTTTTATAACCTGACAGGAAGGTAAAAATTACTGGCTTTGACCAAATTGTACTATTTCTGAACCAAATGTCATCTCCACAAAGTCCTGTAAAACCATCTCACCTAAATTTTAAACCATAAAATGTGCCAGTCATCAGATGAGATTGGCACAGCTCATATTTGCTAAATGATTTTTTTCTGGATGAGGCAAAACATCCAATTGAACCTGTACAAACAACCAGTCTGGAACATTTTGGAGTCATCTGATGATGATGGGGCTGCTATTTATACTTTTTCAAAACCATCTGTAACATTTTTGTAATCTAAAAATTTTCTTCATTTTTTGTACTTGATGCACAGCCCAATACTCAAAACTCAGAAAACATTACAGCCTAGCTCAAAGCACTCCTGCAAGATAGGCAAGCATAGTTTGGAATTCCTTGAAAAATTGTGAATTTTTAGATTCTGGAAATTGATTCTGAAAAAAAAATATATAACCAAGCAAAGTTTGCACAAAAAGGAGACCTGAGTAAGAGTATTAAGCATCTAATCTTAAATTTATGAGCAAACTCATCAGCATTACACATGATACACATCTCTCACCAGATCCAGAGTTGAGTGAAAGGCTTCTTCAGAATCACAAAAAATATGGTCTATGTGTGACAGTAAGATTCATTATTTGACAACATTTGTGTGGTATTACTAGAGAATCCAAAACTTAAAGGAATTTAAAGATAATTATGATGCTCAAAATTGACAATCTAAATTTTTAATTAACACAACTTAACATCATACTGCAAAATTTTGGCTAGGACCTGTCAGTTTGAGTTTTGAGTATTCTGACAGGTCCCTGTCAAATCTTGCTTTATGTTCTTTTATATTTTTATACTAACAATTCAATATTCAATTTTGAACACCGTAAATTCAGGAAGGGATTAAATGTGTAGTGACTCAGAGGATGTAAGTGGGATAGATCATGGGTTCCAGTAGATGTGGCCTGGAGGAGACAGATGCAGCCTCCTCTGGCTGAATGAGCTGCAGCCAAGTCACACTCCTAGTTCACAACAAAATGCACACCAAGAAATGGTCATACAGCCTGAGAGTTGGCCATAGAACCACCAAAGCCATCTGAAGCCTAGCTTCACACAATCCCCTTGTTCCAGAGGGCGGGGGGGACCCCACGTGCCAGAGGCACCTTGCAAAGAGAACTTCTGAAAGAGGGGGTGGTGAGTATAGTCTGAATGTTGGGCTGGAAGCTTTGGCTTTGAGTGGCTATCTTTGTATCTTTCTCGCTCAATCACACATTTCTCCCCACCCTTTCTAACATTTTTTTGCTTTCAAGTTCTTCATCTGCCTTAGCATATTGGCATTGATCTCACAATTGCTTTTGTCATATTTGTAAGAACAACCAACCTTTCACCTGGGTTTTAAATGAAGGAGCTGACTGATGATACAGCTCTGCACCATAATACATCTCGTAATATCATGGGTGGGAACAGAAGGCCCATCATAAAAATTGGAACCAAATGATGTCTTTCAACGTCCAGTGGAGGAAGAAGCAGAAGGCCCCTGCAGGCCACATGTGTTACACAGAAATAAAGGGAAGACAGAGGCCTTTCAGCTGGTCGTGAATCGTACCAACAGTGGGCCGCTACGCTACACTACGCTATTTGACCACTAACTGTTAGTGTAGTGGCCTTTTTATTTCCTGGAAATTCTGTAGTGTTATCTGACGCTAAACCCCACTACGCTAACTGTTAGTGTAGTGTAAATTTTTCTCTCAAATTTTTTGGTAGTGTTAGCTTCAAATAATCTCAGCTAAACTAACAGTTAGTGTAACTTTTTTGCACTAACAAAATTTTGACTGTCAGATAGTGTAACTGATTTAAAGCTAACATTTAGTGTAACTTTTACCAAATTAAGCTACACTATACTACACTACATGCCTAGTTACGCTACGCTACGGTAGAAGTTACACTACGCTACGGTAGAAGTTACACTACACATGTAGTGTAGTGTAAATCATCAATTAGAGAAATTGACATGTCAAGTGAGAATTTATGCTCTTGAACCCTCTTCCTCTGCTTTCTGTTTTCAATGGACAAGTTGTGTGAACTGTCCCTATAACTGATACGGCCGAGGTCCATAGTGATTATTTTCAGTGTCCTATGATCACACACAATCCCGCAGAAAGTGAACAGCATAAGATGTAGAGACAAACAAACGGAGGATGTTCCTGGTGAGATTTGCTACAGACCCTTGTGGTTGTAAGGTTAGTTGGGTGGTAGTTGCCATGGTTCATGCCAACAGCTCCACCACACTCTGGTGATACATCATGGTTACACCTCTACCCCCCCCCCTCCCCCCTTGCTACATGATGTGAAAGTGGAAATTGAACAAGTGTGGGAATGGAACCCAGTAAAGTATGATCTGAGGGGGAATTGAACCCATAATCTCAAGGTAGTCTGACAGGGGAATGTGGTCTTACAAGTAAGTGTTAAAAATTGGCAGGGGGCTAAAATTGAGTGGCCACCATTACTAACTGAAAAAATCATGATCAATTAAGGGGATCGGGATGTAGGCCCCCCAATGAGGAACTGTCTTCAGGGTAGACTAAAGCTAGTCATGTGGTCATGTAACTTTTAATCAGTTACGCTAACAGTTAGTGTAACTTTTTCACCAGTTACGCTAACAGTTAGTGTAACTGAGAGTACCACTACGCTAACTGTTAGTGTAACTTTGCAAAAAGTTACACTAACATGTAGTGTAGTGGGATCAACCACTAACACCGCTAAAATTTCACTAACAGGATTTTGGGTAGTGTTAGTTGTGCCTTTTTAAAGGTAGCTAACACTACGCTAAAGTTTTTTTTTTTTTTTCAAAAATCCTGTAGTGTTAGTGGGCCAAAAATTCCCGCTAACGGTAACTTTTGTGTAGCGTAGCTTAAAAAGCTAACACTACGCTGTACTAACACTATGGTTAGTGTAACTGGCCCACTGTTGATCGTACCAACGCTGCCACAGATACGGTATCTGCCCGTATCTGCTAGAGATCGTTCGTCGGTACCCGTTGCTAGGTACCTAGTACCGCTCGGCGGGTACTGCCCGCACCCGCCTCGCACCCGCCAGGCGGTGCCGGGTGCGTGCGGGTGCCGGTTTTTTGGCAAAAAA